GAATTTTACACTTTGGTTTTGCATGCTAGTTTAGGAATTTTTCAAGAAGATATCACTAAAGTAGAAGGCGAAACTATAATGCAGTAGAAGTAGCATTTATATATGAAAACGTATTGCAAAAAATTAAGATTCGTAAACAGGAGATATTCATTCCATTTTCTCTTAAGCAATGTTGGATTGCATATGTTAAAAAATATCCAAATGTTTTGTTTAAGGAGAGAGTAGTACAGTTCTATGAAAAGGCCGTAAACAGTCTTGAGATTTGGGGTCAAAATTTAAGTTTTTTTGGAAATCTTACTTGGATTAGCATTGAAAACGAAATATCTTGGAAAACTGTTGAAGAAACTATTACTGAAATAGGATGTTATACTAGTCTAAAGTTCGATGAAGATACTATTTTTGACGAGATTGGTTGTGTAAACACTATAGTAAGTAAAGAAAAAACGCGCGGAAAGTGGCAGAAATTAAGAATGGAAGAAAGGTCGAATGCAATTAAAAACATGGCACAATCGACCAGTGTAGATTTAAAAAGTATACTAATGCTAGTTGAATTTGCTTTGTGTATTCCAGGCACAACTGCGTCAGTAGAAAGGACATTTTCTCTTATGAAACATTTGTGGTCCCAAGATAAAAATCCTCTGCGTGTATTAGTCGTAGGTGCATTGTTACAGATTAAACTGAATTGTAATGAAAGTTGTTCGTCATTTTATGATTGTTCTTTTGAAAAAGTCCCTTACCAATGATTAATATGAAAAATAAACACATATTTTTGATAATTGATCTTAATATTTTTTTTTTAAGTTCCTGTTTTGAGTACCTTCCAACGATATGCGAAAAATGCAATACATATAAGTTCATTGTTTTTACTTTAATTTTAAATTAATCAACAATGCGTATGTATGATTGGTTTTGGTATAAATGCATTTATGAAAATAATTTCAATATTGTTTTCACTTATCGTTCTTACAAAATAATAAGAAAGGGATAAAAGGTAACATATACAAGAGCTTCGGATACCTAAAAAACTCATGGCAACTTTGCTTGAAATCTCTGGTAAATCTCTCTGTTAGGTCATGCTTGGATAGTCTGGCTGGCGTCCGGAATTAAGCGTAAAAGATTATGGCTGCCCTATATATAAGGGATTGTTTGAGAAATCATATAAGGAATTATACATTACCCAAGTATACGTATATCCAAATTCGTATCATTCAGCGCGTATTGACTACTTTTTAATGTTTTATTTATTTGTTTTTGAAATTAACGATATATTTCAGAATTTATAATTAACACGTTGTGTTCATTTTAATAAATCCACTCCGATTTTTAGTTATACAAAATTTATTATATACATAGAGCATCGGTAATATCATAGCACCCCCATTTCAAAGTGATATTATTTCTCATGTTTACTTATTTATTTCTAGGAATTTGCAATAAAAATACAGTTCAATTTCTAACCCATATAAACCCAATATAAACCCAATTTTAAAACTTCGCAGAAAATTACAAAAAATACAATAAATTTTCACCCAAAAATCAAAATTTTTTCTCAGAAGTGTTAGATTTTTTTTGAGCACACAGTTTTAAAGCCCCTTCAATTTTAGTCCAACTATATGCAAGTTTGAAGTGGATAAAAATTGCCGTTGATTTTTTAGAATCCATATAAAAACAAATTGTGTGTTGGATCACCCTAATGATAAAATAAGATAAAATATTAGCTTTAAGTGTTAGCACTATAATTTCCACTGACGCTGTAAACCTAACATGCATTAACTCTATATTTGCACATACACACACACTGTCTAACATACATACATATGTAATTACCAGGGAACGGATTTTTAGGACCTAAAAACCTATAAAAAAGGCAAAATAAAATAACGAAATAGGCTGGAAAAGGCAAAATAAAATAGCGAAAAACGCAGGAAACGGCACTAGGTATTGCAAAAAAGGCAAAATAAAATACCGAAAAGGCAGGAAAAGGCACTAGGTATTGCAAAAAAAGCAAAATAAGGCACTGAAAAAAGACAGAAAATACGAAGAACAATCAAAAAATACATTTATTTTAGAAATGTTTATATTACAAGTAAAAAGAGAAAAACTATGAACTAGTTTCATTATATGCAAAATGTGTACTTTGAATCTCTGACTATTTTATCCTTTTTTTTCTAACTCATAAAACTTTAATCTGTATAGTTGTAGTAACATTGAACCACAAGATGCCTTTTGAAGTTTTCTGGCAGCATTTTCATTCGATTTTCGCGAAGAAAAGCCTTGCATGTACTAAATGCGCGCTCGACGTAAGTTGATACAAGTGGAGCCCAATTTAAATATGGAACGTTTGAAACGTTCATATTATTAGAAATAAGGGCGTTTTGCTCGCCCTTTATAATTTTATCCACACCCTTTATTGTCTCCAAGCCTACGTTAGCTGAGAAAACGGCTTCTATAAGCCGCATGGGCATGTGTATATTTTTTAATCTTTAAAAAAAAAATTGTAAATGCTATAATCACTTTTTTAAAGGTATAAAAGGCAAAAAAGGCAAATATCTTAAAAAAGGCAAAAAATAGGCAAATATTTTAAAAAAGGCAAAAAAAGGTAACATCAAATGTGTATATATGGAATCAGGGAAAGCTAAATCGTGGACTTTCTTAATCGAATATATTCTATCTCTTTAGCAGAAAAAAAGGCAATTTCCATAAAATCCGTTCCCTGGTAATTACACTCATTCCTACTCTCACTTGTTTTCGTTTACCAAGTTATCAGCATGGACAGTTTAATATGTGTTCTAATAAACTATTGCTAATCATTCGTTCGAGAGAAGCACATCGTTTGATATTTGCTGGTCATCAAATTGGACACATACGTTGCGTTTTGGGCATTCGGTAAATCTGTTCGCTTATCAAGGTTTACACACCGCCCGCTACTGTAGTATTTTGCTAACAAGAAAAGAGCTTCTTGTAACAACATTTTTGGCGCCCAACGTGGGGCAGTGTGTAACAAAACGTATAAGTTAATATACGTAAAATCTTATTTCGAATAAATTAACCGGCATATCGAAATGACATGTAAGTTTGCTATCAACCAAAAGGCAACATTCATCTATTGGCAAACGGTTCGTGCACACATCGCAGTACCATTGTTGCAGTTTTTTCGTCACCGCTAACTTGTTGAGAGTTTCCCACCGTGGATCCCGTTCTCTTTGGTACAAACAGTTCTCCATCGCATCGCTGCAGTTAAATTGGTCAAACGCCTAAAGGTTCGCATGTCATTGATCGCCCTTCAAAATCACCGCTCGTTGGAAAGCGTATGCATGTATGATAAACCTAGTTTTTCTATTGCATTTTTTACGCCTTCGACACATTCGCTGCCTGCGTTTTGAAGTCGCTGATATATGTCGTTGATATAAGCTGACGCTGCGCTGCTTACACCTACCGGCTCTGTATACATCATTCCTGCATTTGTGTGTTTGCTCACGCTGCGCACACGAATTGTCGCTGCTTATCACATCGTTCTACTCTTGCTGGTTTGGCACACTGCATTTGTGCTGCTTATTTTTTGTTGATTTTGCTTCGCAGTCGCGGTTAACATCACCGTTTGATCGTCGTCAGGTATTTTGCCTACTTGTTAACCCAACAGACAATTGATATCGCAGATCGTGTTAGCCAGACATGTCGCTGGAAGAGTGTAAACGCAAGCGTGCAAACATAAAACGAAACATATCACGCATCAGATCAATTGTTGATGTCATTAAAGATGCTGAGGACAAACCATGGCATGTCGAGCTACAATGTCGTTTAGGAATTTTAGAATCTTATTTTAAACAAGCGTTATCTGTACAGCTGAAATAGAGGATTTGGATCCAACAGATAATGGTCGCGCGGATTTGGAAGATAGCTACGTCGCAGTTAAACAAAGTATTCAAGCACAACTTGGCGAGGATGTGAACAGTACTGTAAATTATACAGAGCCGGCATCATCAGCGTCTGATTCCACCGTCTCACATCTCCCAAGGTTGTCGCTACCTAGTTTTAGTGGAAGTTACGCTGAATACAAAAATTTCATAACGTCTTTTACCCAAATAATTGCACGTGAGCCTAGACTCTCAAATATCGAAAGATTCAATTATCTGTTATCTTGCTTGAAAGGGGCAGCACTAGAAACCGTCAAAGCCTTTCAGGTCACAAGCGAGAATTATCCGAAGGCTTTAGATATGCTTAAAGAACGCTTCGATAATCCTACCTTAATATTTTTAGAAGGCATTGCTTCGCTGTTTACCCTGCAATCGGTTGACAAACCAAACCCTCAACAGTTGCGCAGCCTAGTCGACAAAGCGTCGGCTATCTTCAGCTCGTTGGAGTCTTTGGGCACCAGCACGAACATCTCACAGGCAATGCTTATCTACATAGTTATAAGCAAATGTGATTAGCAAACTCGTAACAAGTGGAATGAAGCTCTTGATTATAAATCACTTCCAACCTGGTCTCAGTGCACTCAGGTCTTGGAACGTCACTGCCAGTTTCTATACTCATCTGAATCGTCTTTGCAGCGCAAATCTGATTCAAACAAGCAAAATCGGTCAGGGGCCAACAGTTAGAAGTCATCGTTCGCCATTACTAAACCTTGCTGCGTTCTCTGTTCTGGTTCCAATCATAAAATTATTAGTTGCTCGCAATTCAAGGAGCTGAATACCACTCAACGGTTCGACGCCGCAAAGCGGTACGATCTGTGTATCAACTGTCTTAGCAACGGACATAGAATCGCCCAGTGTCCGTCAAAGAATCGTTGTCGCACATGCAATCGTGCCCATCACACGATGCTGCATCACGACAACGCGTCTTAGTCACCATCGACAGCATCATCAGCTACTACCTCATCACAACCTTCGTATTCTGCTCGAGCTTCGTGGAATAATGCATCATCACAATCATCCGAATCGTTTGGTAAACAGCAAACGTACAACGAGGCACGCTCATTGCAAGCAGCAACGCATTCGCACATGGATTTATCGGAGGGTGGTAACGTAATTCTGGCAACGGCTATGGTGCTCGTCAAAGACTCGACAGGCGCGTACAAACTTGGTAGAGCCTTACTCGATTCATGCTCCCAAGTAAACTTCATCACCGATGATTTCGCTCAAAAACTTCGGCTTAGCAGAGAAAGGCATTATGTCGGCATTCGGAGTATTGGTGAATCACTCACCAATCTCAAGGCACGCACAACAACTACCATCAAATCACGCACTTCATCGTTCGAACTTTCATTGCAATTTGGAATTACTTCGCAAATCGCATATCAACCTGACAGTGAAATTGACACTTCAACTTGGAATCTGCCAGCCAATACCACATTAGCAGACGAACTGTTCTTTAAATCGCGGCGCATCGATTTGTTGCTTGGCACAGAGGCCTTCTTCGACGCACTTTCTGTTGGTCAAATACGACTGGGCTCTAACTTACCTACGCTTCAAAAAACTTTGTTCGGTTGGGTCGTTTCAGGCAGATATCAACGTCAACGTCAGGCGGTATCTGCGTCTTATCTGCTGTCAAACGAAAGCTCTATCGATGAAAATCTACAGCTGTTATGGGAGCTTGAAGCAGTCGACACAACAGTCAAACCGATTCAGCCTGGACATCGTATATGCGAAAACTACTTCTTAGCTACTACTCATCAGGACGCTACAGGACGCATAGTCGTAAACCTACCTCTCAAAGACAGTCCAAATCGCCTAGGAAAGTCGCTTGACATCGCTCGCCGCCGATTTATCGCAATTGAAAGACGACTGCTTAATTCACCTGACATTCGACAACAATACATTTCGTTCATTGAAGAATACGAAAGTCTTGGTCACATGTCTGCCGTTGCAGCACCTAAATTGGAAGAATCACACTACTACATCCCCCATCACTACGTGCTTAAGCCCAATAGCGAATCAACCAAACTACGAGTGGTGTTTGACGCCTCATGTCGCAATACAACACAAACATCACTGAACGATCTGCTGTTAGTGGGGCCTACAATCAAGAGGAGCTGTAAATTCTACTGTTGCGGTTCCGGTTATATCGATATACCATAACCGCGGATATCACCAAGATGTACAGGCAAGTATTCGTAAATACAAATCATTGCAAATTTCAATATATCCTTTGGCGAGCCTCTCCAGATCTAGATCTCCTCACTTACCAGCTTAACACCGTTACGTATGGAACAGCATCAGCGCAATACCTTGCGGTCCGCAGTCTCCATATTCTGGCGGACCAGTACATGGATGAGATTCCAACCGGTGCTTCGGCTATAAAGTCGTCATTTTATGTCGACGATATGCTATGTGAGCTGACGAAATCGAGACGTTGCAGACCCTAAAAACGGAGGTAACTGAAGTTCTTCGTCGAGGACTGTCAAAATGGCACTCAAATCACCCAGATTTCATGAAAGTCGGACAACTAAGGAGCTTAGCATCACCGATGATTCCGTAACTAGCGCGCTTGGGGTAACTTGGCATCAACGACGTGACGTTCTCTTGTTCACATTCAAACCCAAGCAAGTTTACACTTCCGTAACAAAGCGAACAATCCTCTCTGTCGCGCCATCCCTGTTTGATCCCCTCGGATTATTGTCACCACTCGTTATTACAGCGAAGATAATTCTTCAAGAATTATAGTTGCTAAAGCTCAACTGGGATGAGTCCGTGCCTCAGAATCTGTATAATGCGTGGAACAACTGTTTAGAATCATTCAATTCGATCTCGTCTCTTACTGCGCCTCGCTACTGTCTGCAACCAAATGCTCGCAACATTCAAATTCATGGGTTTTGTGACGCATCAATTCGCGCATACGGCTGCGCGTTGTATGTGAGAACGGAAGATTTGGGTGGACATGTTGCTGTTCACTTGCTTACATCAAAGTCCAGATTCGCGCCAGTAAAGAAGCAATCGCTCCCTTAGCTTGAACTGTGCGGCGCGCACCTTCTCGCTCTATATATGCAAAAACAAAAGACATTTTCATCAATCGACCCACTTCCACTTACTTTTGGACTGACTCCCAACTAGTACTACACTGGTTGCAACAGCATTCAGCCACTTTATCGACGTTCGTAGGCAATAGAATATCCAACATACAAGAGTTGACTTCATAAGGACGTTGGAAATTTGTGCCAACCAAGGAAAATCCCGCTGATCTTGTATCTCGAGGATGCGCTGTCTCCGAACTCAAATCATTGACCTTGTTTTCAGGCCCTTCATTTTTACGTGAAGAAATGTCGAAATGGCCTCAAAGCAAAGGTAAGATTGAAATTGATATGGACATAGTCAACGCCGAGAAACGCAAAACCTTGTTTGCTGCAGTCAAGGAGACGAACTATTTACTAGAAATTATTGATGGTATCAGCTCATACCGCCATTGCTTGCGTCTGGTTGCTTGGGTGTGTCGATTCTGTGACAAATGCAGAAAAATGCCGTCATCTACTAGTTCGTCGCCGTCGCCTCAAGAAATGCGACACAATTACACTGCATAATCTGGAATATTCAAACGCAACATTTCTCCGACGATCGGCTCCGTCTTCAAAGGAATCAGCCATTAAACAATAATTTAAAATTTCTAACACCATTTCTAGATAACTCTTCAGGATTTGAGCTTATTAAAGTTGGTGGCCGCTTGGATTACGCCGACTTGCCAGAATGCCAAAAACATCCGATCCTGCTGCACAGCAACTCACAATTTGTGTTCAAATACGTTTGACACCTTCACCTACATAATTACTATGCCGGCCCTAAAGCATTAGTAGCATTGATTCGCCTTGAATTTTGGATCGTCAACGCTAGGGACTTAGCTCGTCGCATTGTTCGTTCTTGTGTGCATTGCGTCCGCTATAGACCAAAGCTACTGGAACAGGTCATGGGGCCTCTGCCAGCTGCACGCCTCACACCAGCACGACCTTTCGAACGTTGTGGAGTCGACTTTTGTGGTCCCATAAGTACATATCTACGAGTTCGAGGAAAGGCCCCTAACAAGTCGTATTTAGCAGTATTCGTTTGCCTGCTGACTAAAGCAGTCCATATAGAGGTAGTTTCGGACTTGTCAACAAAGGCATTTCTAAATGCTTTAAAGCGTATGGGCGGTCGTCATAAAATGCCATGCGAAATATATTGTGACAATGCTACAAATTTTGTTGGCGCCTCTAACCACCTGAAAGAACTCAAACAATTTCTGTTTAGTAAAGACACGCAAGAAGAAATTTACAAATTCTGTGCTTCTGATTTCATTAACTTTAATTTTATTCCTCCCAGGGCACCCCACTTTGGCGGCCTTTGGGAAGCAGCGGTTAAGAGGGCAAAGGGACTATTAAATCGGACCTTAGCAAACACCAGACTAACAAATGAAGAGCTGAGCACTGTCGCTGTGGAAATCGAGGCCGTACTCAACTCGCGCCCACTATCACCGTTGTCCTCAGACCCCAATGACTTTGGCGCACTCACTGCTGGACATTTCTTAGTTGGCGACTCCCTACGTGCGTTGCCTGAGCGATCACTAGACCACAGGAGCATCTCCAACTTGGATCGCTATGACACGATCACTTCGATTAAACAACGATTTTGGCGCCGCTGGTCTGCAGAATATATAAACGAATTACGCGCTCGTGTCAAATGGACGTCACCTTCACCCAACTTAAAAAATGGAACCCTAGTTGTCATCCACGACGACAATCTACCACCACAACGTTGGAGGCTTGGTCGCGTCGAATCCACCGTACTTGGACGTGACGGTCATGTTCGCGTAGCACATCTTCGCACTGCTAATGGACCTTGCTGTCGACCTATACACAAACTTGCTATTCTGCCTGTCTCTTGAAAGAAATTTCTTTCAATGGGCCCGGGATGTTGGATCACCCTAATGATGCCGGCTCAAGCAGCAGATAAAATATTAGCTTTAAGTGTTAGCACTATAATTTCCACTCACGCTGTAAACCTAACATGCATTAACTCTATAGTTGCACATACACACACACTGTCTAACATACATATGTAATTACACTCATTCCTACTCTCACTTGTTTTCGTTTACCAAGTTATCAGCATGTACAATTTAATATGTGTTCTAATAAACTATTGCTAATCATTCGTTCGAGAGAAGCACATCGTTTGATATTTGCTGGTCATCAAATTGGACACATACGTTGCGTTTTGGGCATTCGGTAAATCTGTTCGCTTATCAAGGTTTACACACCGCCCGCTACTGTAGTCTTTTGCTAACAAGAAAAGAGCTTCTTGTAACAACATTAGGGGTATTCTCCAAATCTTGCAAAGCCATTGCACGTAGCACGGATTGCACGGATTGCATAAATTGCAAACACACACCAAGAAAATTCATGGGAAACAACATTTCCTATCGCTGCAAAATATGCAACGTCGAAACCCATGTATATATTTTGCAAAATAGCATAGCAAGATAATAGCGACCCTGTGCTAGTTGTTTTGTTGTTGGAATTGCTACATATTTCTCTCATTCCTCTCATCTCGCTCACTTAATTTTTTTTTGCTGTCTCTTGTTATTGTATTTGATACATAATTTCGCTGCTTGCTCCCCATGCATGCTACCACTTTGCAATGGGGTGTTCTCGTACTCTTCGAAATTTGGAATAGTATTTTTGCATTTCGTGCAATCCGTGCATCGTGCAAGACTTCGAGAATACCCCTATTGTGTTTATTCGTCTTCCATATAACAAAAAATGACACTGTATATCGATGACTTAGAGGAAGATCGACCTATCTGGGCAGAGAGTTCGAGAACGCCCGATATCAGAAAACTTTTCAACAACATCCTATTTAAAAATTTGGCTGAAAAACGCCCTATTTTAGAATTTTATTGAAAAACGCCCTATCTCAAAACTAGAACCAAAAATACCCTATCTCAGCTGACGATTCAAAAACGCTTTATCTCAGCACATTTTCAATGCATTTTCGTTTGAGATGGGGCTTTTTTGAACCGAATAATAATAATAACATACTATATAAATATCTAGTTTCAATATAAAAAATTTATGTACCTATCATTAATTGTGTATAAATATCTATGCCAATATATGTATGTGATATGTATTAGGGTGGTCCAAAAATGCATGTGAAAAGGTAAAGTCGGAATTTTTATGCTCTCACCACCTAGGATTGTTTTATACTGAAAAAAGTATACCCTTATTTTTTTAATTTGAAATCAAAAAAATATATAGAGATCGCTCAAAGCGCCCAAAGTTTTCCATGTATTTTATATTGGGGTCTAATGGGGGAGTGAAGTGAATCTATAACCTATCCTTCCCAAACGACAGCCTCACCCACTGTCCATCAAGGCTTGGTGGTCCCTGTTATCGCTAACGAGGCTCTGTCTACCGATGCGAGGCGGTATATCCTCGCTAAAGGCTGAGCTCCCGTAGTGTGGACTGGACCCGGACTGTACGTGACGTGCATCGACGAACGCTCAGGACGTTAAGAACTTGATGACGTGTGGATCAATACGTAAGGGACACCAATCTTCGCGTTTGAAAACGCACCGACAAATCCTGAAGCGTCTGTTCCCCAGTGGGACGGCTCCCTGATCGGCGTCTGACCCATATTGGGCGACAGGACAATCTTCACCTGGCAGTAGGTATAAAATGCATAGTGCGACCCCGCCACTCTAACGCCAAGGGACAAGGCTCTTCAAAAGAAGCATGCCTACATTGTACGGAAGAATGAGCGACTCCGTGAGGAGAAAGCCTCGAATGCTTCCGAAAATGAGGCCGCTGTCTCTGGAAAAGCCACCAACTCCGAAAAAAGAGACGCTGTAACCAAACCCCCCTCTAGGGGGCAGTCTGTCGACGAAGAAAGCTTCTCCCCTGTCCGCTGTTGGAAATAACAAGTCGTCGCAGTCACTGACGCCCAAGGTGCCGAAGACCACGAGGCCAGTGTTCCCACGGCTGGACGGCCTCGACATCGGCAGCTGCTATAGCCTCCGGTGGTAAGGGAACGGTTGCACGCACTCCGAAGAGACAACTGTCTGGCGACAAGAAGGCACAGCCTGAGCAGAAGCGGGTGAAAACTTCATCAAC